CCCCCCCTGACTTTAAAGCTGGATCCGCTCCTTATTTTATTATAATTATTAAATTTATAAAATGATTAGGATTTAAACTTAAAAGAATGCCTACCTGACGTTTTGCACGCCCGAGCGGCTCGCATCTTCAGCGTTGTTTGGCCTCAAAGCAAACAGTTCATTGCCGGTGATAAAAAGTCTTGAAAAACACTCCAAAAAGCCTTCGAATATCCAAACACTCACTTTAAAGTCAACATTTTCAGCCTTGATTGATAGAAGGCGAATGTCTGTCACGGCCTGACAGCCCGCAAAAATCCCGACTGGGAAAATTGCGTTTTTTCGGCTAAAATCGCAATATCTGCACCAAAAAACATCACTAAACTGAGTAGGAGAACGTAATCTTGCAAAAAATCAACAACTTTCCACTGAAAAACTGATTAAAACCTGATTTTTCCGAAATTGTTCACGGAGCAGTGGCACACAGTGACGCAATCAATGACAGCTTTTGACTAGATTGTTGACGTTTGTCTAACCAAAAATTAGCAAATAATTTTGACTTTCAGTCGCTGATAACAGGAGATCACTCATCAGTGCGGTATGTGACTTACCAAAACGACGAAGAAGACGAATAATGCCGTAGCTGAGAACCATGAGGAACTTGGAGCCTATCGATGTAAACATTGTACAGAAATATATGTGTATGTATAAACCCCGTAGTGTTTTCCTAATTCCATATATTTTTGGCAAAGACAGTGAGGAATTTTAGGAATACTACGGGACAAAATGTACAAAAAAAATGCTAAAGCGCGCTGTATAGGAAAACCGAAAAAAAATCAGGCATGGAACTGGGACGCAAAAGTTAATTTATCTTAAGTTAAAAAAATGGTATTTATTATATGTCTGGCTATCTATATCTACGCGAATAGAACAAGCTCTCTTGGTATTTACTTATGGATGGAAGTACCCAGTAAACTTTCAGAAATTAACTTGTTCAGGGCCCTCGTTTGAAATCCTAGTGAATGGCTGCACTGGATTTGAGCCCGAATATAAGGGACGAGGCAATAAGAGTCCCTAGTGCTCATTTGGCTATTGAATTTACAGAAAAAATGAACCTGTACCATGTGCTTCCATCTACTTATACACCCAAATGATTGTCATATAAGGTATATTTGATGTCTATTTACCCACTAGTGTATTCTAGCAACTAAAGTTGACAAAAATCATTCAATGAGAATTGCTGGGCCAATCAAAAACGCCATTTACGTGGGACTGTGTCAAAGTGCTGCGCAGAGGCTTCTTGTGCGTCTTTAAAAGTTAAAATTCTGATAGATGGACTGTTTGAAAGGTTTTAAATTTTAAAGACCAGTCTCGACTACCAGGGATGATTGGATAAGGGACCTAATAACTATATGAAAAAATTTGTTCGATTATTAATGGATGTATTTCTGCTATCAATTTTCGCGTAAGTCCAGCGGGTACAATGTTTTTACTTCAACGGGAGAACACCGTATCTCCTTGGAAGGTTATTGTGAATAGACAATAATCCACAAAAGAAATCCTGACCAACTCAGTTAGTTTTACGTTGATCATATTTTAAGCTGGTGAGGGTCCGAAATACAGGGCAATATCGTAAAGAAAATAACTAAGCGATTTTTGCTGCTTTAAATCATATAGATAGCATAATGTGTAGGTACATGATAGATGATTTCGTGGGGGACTAGAGTTTGTGTTCGTCCCCCACTTAGGCAAATCTATATTGCATGTTAGATGTTAAAAATCAAATTAGTCTATCTAAACTAGCTAATATCTAGCCAATTAAACTAGCATACAACCAAGGTATATCTAAATGTTTTGCTGTAAGGATCTGTTTGTGGTGAACTATAATAAACTGATACAAAACTCCAAGGAATTCGTTTTAATAATGACAAGACGGCCATTTCTCACGCTTTAGGAGCACTTCATCCTAGTGAACGTCTGTGAACATCGAAACTAAGCTAGAAATTTTTCAATTTGGCAAAAAACTCATCCTTAACGTAGTTTTTGAGGTAAACGGATTATTTTCCCACAAGAGCGATTACTCAAGACCACTAATTATAACGTTAGAAATCACTAAATTGCTTTTTTCTCGGTCACCCAAGTCGGTTAATTAACGGAAAGTCGAAACAAATCGGCAATTAAGACACACACTTCGCACAAGTGGTCGATCGGGCGCACTTTCAGCCCGCAGTCAGTTTTGTAACAATTAAATAAATATTTCTATGAAAATGCTGCTAATATGCCGACAATTGCATAGATGATATAACCAATATTGCACCCACTTACATCACTCAGTAGGAACACGAGTTTTCAAGTCCAATGACCACATGTGGCGTGTAAAAACAGCAGGAACAACATTGCCAATTTACTATCTATAGGCATTTTGTCTGCCGCTGAACATTGTTTTATGGTAGAAAGCTTCTGGCCATTATATAAAGAGATATTTCAGGCACATAAGTTCTATAATGGGCACCAATGGCCCGTTTCTTTTTTCTTCATCAACGGAATAAAAACGAGAATTTCAACCGAAAATTGTGTGAGATGAAACAAGCGCCTAGAAAGTTGATATTGGTTCTCTTTCCAACACACGCATTCAGAGACCTACTTTGTTCCACTTATATGCAGGGTGAATGGACTGGACACGATCGAAAATAAAATATAAATTTCAAGACAACGAAAACTAAAATGTTCTAGTTTTCTGTCTAGAGGGTGATTCAAAATTGGCGTCATTCCTTTTAAGGGGCAATAGGGGCTCACTTAGAAGGTACTAGAAAAATATTGAAATTTTTTTTCCGATAATTTCCAGAAGATATTAACAGCTGAAAATCGAATTGCAACTTCGTTATTAAGCATTATTTGGAAAGAGTTCCATGTTTAATTGGTATCTTCTGTTTCCATTTACTTTTTGTTTAACATGTCACACTAAGCAACACATGAAAATAATTGCCTTCTTACACTATTCCAACAAAAGTGGAATACCAACAACGTAGTTCGACTTTTTAGTAGGTAGTACTATGTGAATTAGTTTCATTATATCAGGCGTATAAAATACTAGGATTTGTAATCAGAAATTTTAAATATTTTAACAATAATAGAACATTTTTTTATTACATTTTTAGTATTTAATGTCATAAGCACTCTTACTTGTTATTGCCACTTGGGTGCTGTTTATTATAAATTTTACCGATAAATAAATCTATGGAATGGATTTACTAATTTGAAAACTATCCATATAAATGTATCGATGTGTGTAAGGATATTCAATATACTGTCAAATATACAATAAACCAAACTTTTTAGGAGATTTATTTAATGGTTTAAGTTGCTTACTTAAATACTACGATCAGTTGATCAGAATAAATAATTTGTAAATTGGTATAAATTAAAAAATACTCATAATTATCACTGTCTTTCTTTGTGCTAATATAAAGGCAATGCTATTATTTTTGTTCCAACAGATTCAAACAATCCCTCTTAAAAAATTAAAAATGACTAGCCAAGAGCGTATAAAATTTACCTATGAATTTCTGTACGATACTATTTGTTTGTCATTTTTATCTAGAGCTTATATAAGGTTCGAAATGCACGAGAGAATAAAAAAAAAATTATTGGCGGACTACGTAATGTTCATTAGGCAGATTACCTTGAAAAACATTGTTTTTTTTTTGTTTTTTCTAATATGGTTTTTTTGCGAATATCAGTTTTTAATAACAATTAATTTTTTTACTATTTTTTCTATACTCCTAGAAGACTGCGAGACAACAACTCCAGAAGCATGACGCCAACTTTGAATCACCCTGTATATTTCAAGAGTTTTATAAGAAAAACGGCTGCACTTTCGCATGCCTTTGCCAATATTTACAGCCGGTTTATGTGCGATAAATCGCATTTTTTATGTTTCCCAAGCAGTATTTTCGCATAGGTTTGCGTGGGATTACTTCAAACCCAACTTCTACGCCACTGGGAAATTTTCCAATTTGAAAAAACATTTTTAGACCGCATTGTTCTCTGCATCAAACGCTTCTCTCTTTCGAAAGCGGGGAAAAAAATTGTAATACTAAACAGTAAAACATGAACAGATAAAAATAAATTTGCCGCTTACCCAGTTAGGCATGATTCTGAGTCCAAAGCTTTCCAAATGATTTCGCAAAAACCAAATTCGTAAACATCAAACTGATTGTGGCAAGTAGCGTAAAATAATAAATAATGATCGTGCTCATATTTTCATCCTAAAATGAAAATTGTGATCAAAGCGACTGAAGTTAGTATTGGAATTTTTTGGGATAAAAATAATTGCTTTTTAAAAAGTGTATTTTTTGTGCATTTTGAATCGACTTTTCTTTCAATCGCATAGAAGGTAGGGAATATCTCAACCCCAAACTCTTTGAAGCAGGAAAATTATTAACACTCCTAAACTAGCTACCCAGATAGCACAAAATATTACATACAAATTTAGGAAATATTTATATGTTTGCTAAATATTTCAGATCAAAAGCAAGTATTTCTTAAATATTATTTTTAAAATATTTGTTTCTAATATTT